CATTTTTCAAATAATTTCAAAAAAACTTGTATCTAACTAATTAACTATATATGTATATGATGTATAGATTATTTTTATACTTAAAATACAAAAGTGTATATAATTATCGAAATAAATATACATGTATATATTTTGGGTTGTATTTTTTTATCATTCATCAAGAATATATATATATATATATATATATATATATATATATATATATATATATATATATATATATATATATATATATATATATATATATTGTCATGTGTTTCTTCTTTCCCAACCAAAGATAATTAAATAAAAAGATTCATCGGAATAAAATTTTAAGATATCAAAATTGTATATAGAAATTTAAGATAAGGTTTAGTGTAGATAAGAATAGAAATTTGTTTGGCCAACGACCTTTTTCCGTTTCCAAATAAATTATCAAAAAACCTTTTGTTTAGAATTAGAAGACATTTTACCTGTAAGTTAATCTTTTTATTGTTTGTATAATCGAGTAGTAAATGACCATATTCTAATCTTTTGAAATATGTATAAATTGTGTATTGACAAAACCAATTTTAAAGTAAGCTATTTAGTTTTTCGGCAGATAACGGCAGAATTTGATAATTGTTTTATTCTTTCATATAAAATAAAGAAACATAATTTTTTTAATATAATATTTTCTTTTATTATTATCCTTTTTCTCTATCCCGATAAAGGACAACTAGAAAATTTTTGAATCCATTGAACACAGGTAATATAAGGAGTTTTATTTTACATTTGATCACAATTAAGTTACATTATTTTGATTCGCTCAATAAATTTAAATAAAGTCAAAATAAACAATCATAACAATAGCACTACCGTCAATCCAATATTAAATAAGGATCACTCAAAGAGTGGCAGGTTTTTTGGTCAAAAATTTTAAGGGGTAGGGTTAATAAAGTGAAATATAGATTAAGTTTCATCAATAATGGGTGGTTGTAAATTAACAAGAACACAACAAATTTGAAGTATATCATCTATACGTTCAAATAAATGTTCTGGTATCTTATCTAATATTCTATATGTTCTTAATCTTTGTATAATACGTTCCACATGTACTCTGACTTTAGCAATCTTGTAAGTTTCACTACACTCCTCTGCAGTAAATTCCGATCTTGTTTCCAAAAAGGGAGGCATCACCATTAAGACCTTTTTTCCTGTTTCAACTATTTTTTCTTTTACTTGGGGAAATCCTTTATCAGCTAAAATCATATCACCATCTTCTAACAAATCTAGAATACCAGACTCTACAGTAATTTGAGAATCTGATTTTCTACCTCCATATATTTTTGATTTAAAACTAATAAAACCAGATGGTGTTATGCCAATTAAAACTTTTGCAGTAAAACCTCTTTTATAATTGGAATAACACCACACCCTGTTATCAATCCTTGAAGGAACCTCTATACGAAACTCTGTACAGTCTAGTATAACTCTTGTGTTTTCAAAATCTGGCTTAAAACACCTTGGTAGAGTACCTAGCACTGTTAATTTATCAGGCCAAAACATAAAATCTTCTGTTGCTTTACATAAAAGACTTAATGTTGAAAAAAATATATCACTGGCAGTAGTCCTATGCAAAGAAAACAGTACTCCTATTGCTGAAAAAGTTAGACCAGTCTTTATTATCATTAAAAAGATTAATAGTCTGTCATAAAGTTGAACTTTGCGACATCTGACACTTGGCATTCTTTTTAATAAAATGTTAAAGGTTTCATATGTTGTTCCAGTAAGATTTAATAATTGTTCTTCATTTGAAATAGAATTGTATCCTTGAAACAACATATTTTCAGTATTTACTGATTTGTCACTCATTTCAGTATTTGTACCACAACACTTATCTTCCTGTTGGCTTTCACAAATAATAACTTTTTTTTGAGTGTTAATATCTGTTTGTATTTCAACTTCCGAAGTGTCAGCATATCTAATACAGGTAAATGTATTATCATTCGATTGCTTATCTTTGTTAATATCTTCTATAAATACTTGGCATGCTGCATCAATTGTCTGTTTGACTGGCTGTATTTCTAGGGCAAAATTAACCTCCTCATCTACTTCAACATCAGTTTCATTCATATTTTTTCTGTCCAATGAATTTGTGATCTTTCTGCGGTTCATTAATCTATTGTACCTAAAACAAAAACATTCAATAATGATAAATGAATTTTAAAAACACTAATGTACACACAAAAACAAAATTATTACTTGCTACTAAACACACTGAAAGGCAGACAACTTCTTACAAGGATTAATTCTTATAACCTAGAATATCAATTACAAGGAAACCAAATTACAAGGATTTACCAAATAGATTTAAATAATATTTCATGTTTTACTAGTTCATTTGTTTCATCTAATATAGTTCAATCATCAAACATTTTATATATGTATGTAACATTATTCTATAGAGATATATAATTGAATATTTTTATTCTTGTCATTATGTACTTAATGTAAAATCAAACCATTTACTTAACTATTGCCCTTCTGCAACAAATATAATGACAGACTGTAAATATTCATATAGAATTAAATATAAAATATTTACCTGTTTAGAGTACTCAGATTTTTTCTTCTTTTATATATATCTGGAAATATTGTTGGAGCATAATTTGGATGCAATGGATCATTGGATTTAATATTTCCAATAAAATGGGCACTACATACCGTATCCGTACTTTTTGGAGTCCATTCGGATTTATCAGAGCTAAAAAGTGTATGTAATATGTACAAAACTTATAAAAACATACATAATAATATATCATGTGTATATATAAGAAAAGTGAGGTTAACTTACTTCATTCTTCTAATAGCATTAATCCATTTTATTCTTTGGTCTAGTTTTTTTTGGGAACGAGGAAAATAAAAATATTTCACATCACTATTTCTCCATGTATTTTTACACTGAACAACACAACAACTAGCGTGATACGGCATTTTTTAAAAATATATATCATTTAAACACATACAAAAGCGTCCTGATAAAATTTCATGCAATCGCCACCATGGGCAGGTCAGTCGATTTTGCTTTGACACTTTGTTAACCCTCGGAGCCAATAGGCATTTTTTTAAATTGTATAAAATCAATCAAAGAAAATCAAAATATAACGTCTTAAGCAAAATCTAAAGTCTATTCGCTTAGCTAGGGCATATTTTGACAGACTCATTGTCGGAAACCTACAACACAACAATCCCTACTTCTCAGTATTAATAGCTCAAGTATACTACTATTGCAGACTTCTTTCTTTGAAAAAAAAAGAAGAATTATTCTAAATAGTGGAAGTGTATACTAAACCCATTAAATTTTCCCTGTATATTTAAAATATAATATTTGAATTGTTGCAATTTAAAATATTGTAGTAAATATTTGTATTATTCGCGTTGTTTATTTAATTTAATATAGTTTTATTGTTTTATTGTCTTTGTTTAATTCTTTTGTTAGTTCTATTCAGTTAATTAGTTAGTTATATTTTAAATTTTATTATTATGGATAGTCAAAGTTTTCCATTTGTTCCATCAGCTAATGCGTTGGTAAGTTTTTCTTAATAAATATGATAAAATGTTTTTTAAAAGTTAATATTTTTATATTAGTTGTTTCTAATTTAATATAAACTTGTTTATACTTACATGGAGGTTTTTGTTGTTTGTTTGGGTTTATATGACTGCAGACTGCGGCCAGGACACTGAATTCATTCACCATATATGGAAGATTTTAACATCCTCAAATGCTAATGAGCAAAAATTACTATTGAACCACGAATTTGCCTAGTCAAATTACTAATATTTGCTTTTAGCATATGGAAGTACACTTATTTTGTAAGATAATAAAACAACAGTTTATGTTAATGCTATCCAATGAACTGTTAATCTTTAATCATTGATTCCATCCTAGTCACAACATAAGGAACTTGCTGTGTCTTATTTAACCTCACTTTGACTTTTTAATTTTGTAGAACTTATTCCAACTTTTTTTATTTTGTACAATAAATAATTTTATTATTTGTTATCAATACATTATACGGTGTAAATAAATAAATATTGATTGTCGGCAAAGTTCTATTTTATTTACTTTTGTTTACATTAATATTGACTAAGAGCACGTATGCTTGGTTGTATAGTAATTTCCAGCCGCTTCGAGTCTGTCAAAAAGTAACTAACTCCGTAAAAAAATAATTACTAAAATCACTAGACAATTCGGACTGGGAATAGCGAACCGGGTATACCTTATACCTCTACTTCATGCATCGAGCAATAAGACAAAAGAGGGAATGTAAAGGTAGAAGTGGTAAACATATTGATAGACAGGAAGTGCCATCTTGAGAGGCCACTTTAGACAAGGATAGACTGTCTCTTTCCTTGTTTAAGAAGTCAAATTTAGTTTGGTTATGTTATTGTTTGTCCCAACTGTCACATGAAATTTTATTTATATTGAAGTTTTTTACCAATTGTGTCACTTTTTAGACTATTATCGTTAATATTTAATTAAAACTTTCTTGTCTGAAAAATATTTTACAGGTATTGTTAACAAGTGTTGGAAAATTTAATTTAGCGCCTTTGCATTTCCGGATATGCCCGCCATCAGAGGCCACTTTTTTGGTCTCCTTTTCATAACGATTAGATTCCCTCTTTTGTCTTATTGCTCGATGACTTCATGAGAATAAATCACAAAACGTGTATAAATACCATATAAAAATTCTGTGGCCTAACTTAACTACCAATTGCCTCCTGTCCTCCTGTGATATTTGTGTCATTGACAGAAAGAAAAATGCATGCTCTCTGCTTTAAAAACAGAAAGCCAACTGTCATACTAGTAACATATCAAAAGTCCCTATTGCGTTTTTTCTTTGAAATGTGCTGTTCATATTTAGTTCTTGTCTTTGTCTTATATGTATAATACGAAAAGAAAGCGTGGTAAGTGTTAGAAGTTATTTTCGTTTAAACACATTTTTTAGCACATTGACATACGACAAACAGAGTGGTTCAATTATCTTGAAAGGAGAAGGAAGAAAAGAAAAGTCCTAAAATAAAATCCCAAAAGTGGAGGTTGCGTCTGACCTGAGATGTTAAAAGATACGTCAATTACGGTAAGAATTTACTAGTAAAGTAAATAAAAATCATTTCAGAATAATTTCCTGTATACAAAAGCTCACAGCGTGTTAGTTTATTTACCATTTGCTTGCTTTATTTACTTTAGAAACTCAAAACAATTTTAATTATTCGAGACGTGACAAACAACACCACTTCAGGTTCAACTTTGAATTATTTTCTATAGATCCTTGTATTTGTCAAAATATTTTTAGCTGTAATTGGCCCTTTTTTGCTAGTTTTTTAAAGCATATTTTATTCTAATTTTTTAAGTCTTACGATGACTTTAAATTAGGGACTTAATTATATTATTAAGGTGCAGTTAATTAACCCTAAATATTAATGGTATGTTTCTACCCGAAAATACTAACCAGCTTAAAATACGCACGTAAAGAAGATAAATCCCATTGTGTGATCTTTTAAAATTGATTAATTTTGAATGCAGTTATTGTTGAAAAATGGTTGATTTAAATCTGAAAATTAAGAACAAAATAAAAGACTTTACAATATTCGAGTGGCATATTGCACAAAAAATTGCATTGTCTAGAAAGGAAGACATGGCTATGTTTACAATAATTTTATATAAGTAATCTGTATGTAACACTTTTGTCACTTTGGAGCTTGTTTTGTAAATCTGTACTACCACATTTAATTTGATGCCAAAAAGATAACTTTGCTAAGGGTTCAGTGTTGGCCAATTTTGTATATGGTCAATATTTATATTCTGTACATGATTTACTCTACTAAAAGGCACAAGTATGTTTCCTTTGATTGTTACTTTTTTCTCATTTATTGTTCGTTTCAAATTTTAAACAAAATAAGAATACACTAATGCAACAATATTAGTTTTATTAATATATTTATTTTCTATCACAAGTGATTTAATGTATGTACTGTATGTCTATATGCATCATAAATTGTTACACTTTAAAATAATCTCTGGTGTTCGTGCCTTATCACAAAGTAATGTGTGCAATAAATTTTTGAGAGTACAGATTTAGGTTATGTTATAAAAATGTCCAGAGTTTCTCCAATATTCAACAAAATAATCAGTTTCCTGTTTTCCAATCTTTAATTAGTTAGAATTCTATTAAATAAGATTGGGTATAAATTAATTTGATTCTTGGTGCCATTATGCCATTAACTAATTTAAATTCCAGAAATTGCAAGAAATACAAGTTTAACAAGTTTAACATTAAGTTATGTGTACTCCATTTTAGTATTGATCTAATGATCAGCTCCTTCAGAATCTTGTAGGTGGAAATAGAAGTGGAATTGTAGTTTTTGGTAGTAGCAAAATCACTACCACTACTAAATCATAACATGATTTTATTTACATAACAATCTTTTAGATTAGTATGGAGAATTTGGATTAAAAGGGTATAATTGTGTGGGGACGTAGTAAAAGTTCTTGAGTTAACAATCATGATGTTGAGAAATACAAGTTTATTTATTTATCAATGGGCAATCACCCAATTAAAATACAATGTAAACATTATTGATAAATTACAGTTGATTCTTAACGTAACCTACTTAAATTAAATTTAAAAATTTTAATCATACAAAAAGTAAAAGTTGGAACAGTAAATAACAAACATTAACAAAGAATGTACCAAACACAAGGCCATCAAGCTATCACACACAGTTCTTAGGCTGAGCTTTAAATTCTTTTGTAATACTATAACAATCCAACCTTTGCGAATAATGATTAGCAAACCTTGGTGTTCTAGATGTGAATGAAGTCCATAGTTTGTGAGATGGGGTCTAACATAAAAGGGTTGATTTAGCCTTGTTTGTCTACTGGGAACATGGAGATTAATTTTTTCCAATAGTTGAGGACCAAAAATAATAAAGTGCAGTATACTATAAAATATAGTGAGATCCTTGTGCATGCATCAGATTTGGAGAGAAGTTATGTTGAGGGACCTTTCCATATTTGAATAGTTAATTTTTTTAATCTTCTGGTTTTGTTTAAATGCAACAAATCTTAAGAATTTGTGTTGAACTCTCTCATTAGTTTGAATAAGAGTGTTACCCCCCTTTCAGACGAGGATACTGTATCCGAGATACGCGTATCCGAGACGCAGATATTACATAGACTCAAATGGAGCTTTTCACACGGGACGCGCGAGTGATACAGTATGCGAGATACCGAATGCGTATGCCAGATACAGAAGAAACATTACATTAAATGAACGCTTTCAGACACAAATTCTGTATCTCACATACAGTATCCTCGTCTGAGAGGGGGCCTTTAAGTGAGGAGACCAAACATATGAACAGTAATCTAGATGGGGTCTCACAAGTGAACAATACAAAATTTTTATGGATGGGATATTTAGAAAGTCTTAGCACAACATTTGATAAACCCTAAAAGTTGAAGTGATTTTGAAACAACAGATGGGATATGGGAGATGTAGGATAAGCTGGAATCGAGCACAACACCTAGGTCTTTTATCTGAGATACAGAGTCTAAAGGGCAACCATTGATAGTATAGATATGAGATGTAGGAGTTTTATTCCGACCAAAAACTATTAAATGACAATTTTCAATTTTAAGTTCCATTCCGTTGCTGTCATACCAATAGCTCAACTGATCCAAATCAGACTGTAGTTTTTGATAGTCACCATTATTCTCAATTTTCAAATATAATTTTAAATCGTCAGCAATTGTTAAGAAAGAAGCAAAGAGGAAACAGGAGACAATGTCATTAACATAGTTATTGAATAGAAGAGGTCCTAGGTGTGATCCTTGTGGTACTCCTGAAAGTACCTTAATCTCAAATGATTGAAAACTCTGAACACATACTATTTGTATTATTTCAGTTAGGTCGGATAACAACCATTCTAAAAGTTCACCCTGGATACCCAGATTACTTAACTTATTGATTAAAATCTTGTGATTTACCCGGCCAAAAGCCTTTGCAAAGTCTCTGTATACAACATGATCCTAGAAGCCATCTTCAAGAGATTCTGTAAGAAAATCAGTACATGTCATTAAATTAAGTTCAGTAGAGCGGCTAGAGAGAAATCCAAATTGCTGGTGGATAAAACAGCCTTTTAAAGTTGCTGACAAATAGTCACAGACAAGGCTCTCAAAAACTTTGTGAATACAACTTAGAATGCTAATAGGCTGATAATTGTTCACTTGAGAATTATCTCCAGATTTTACTATTGGGGTAATAAAGCTAGTTTTCCAGTAGACCGTGAACATCCCTGTCTTTAATGACAAGTTAAAAATGTGAAAAAGAGGTCTAGAAAGTTAAAAAGCTAAAGTGTTTAAGAAAAGAAGGTGGAAGACCACCTGGACCTAACCCCTTGTTGCTATCCAAAGTGAAAATTTTTTCATATATAGACGAAATAGAAATGCTAAATTGTGATAGGTTGATGTCTCCTGTTTGATTGTGATAGTTTGGAATATTTAGACTTTTTCCAGAATTATAACTTTAAAATCTTTACTAAATATAACAGTTTCACTTTATATAAGTTTAGGTTTATTGTTTATATAGGAGCCCCATAGCTAACTACATAACTACTAACTACGAAAAAAGAGTATTTGAAACTTAAGTCATTATGCTCCAACTGATTGTGTGACTTAAGTTTTATAAACAACTGATATCTAAATACATGTAGGCATTGTGAAAAAATGGCATGTGTAGTTTCTAAATATTATGTATTAAAAATAAATATCAAATATATGTTTATAGTAAGTATTTTATGAAATTATACAATTTAAATATTGTTTAGATGCATTATCAAGAGAAAAATCTGAAAAAATAATTATTTACTTATCAGAGGTGATATCATCACTTGTTCTCAACTCAGCGATTTTTATGGTTTTTATAGTAGTGATGGAATACTGGATTTATTAAATGTAAAATGCTTATTCTGTATGCCTTTTTCTCTTTTCTTATTGGTAAACACTCCATGTACTAAATTAGAAATATCCTCTTAGAAAAGATATTTTTTGAAAATGGTTTATACAAGAGGGTACACATATTTTCTTCTTTCAAAAATCAGATCCATTGTATATCATGCCACACAAATTTATTATTAACTTTTGTTTTTAAGTGTAATTCTTTGGCATATAATTGCTTAAAATCTAGAAAATCTGGCTGGCCCATATCTACAACAATATATTTCGGTTCCATTGATCAAGAAAAAATTTTAATAAGAAGTTTATTTATTCAAAAATAGAGTAATATACTAATATACACAAAAGTAATCAATTTATAACATTAATATGTTATAAGATAAAAATAACAATTACACTTAAAATATAGTACCTACGGTTATTAAAAATATAAAACAATAATTAACACTCATGGAAAAAATATCGAATATTTTGGAATTTCCAATTTTTTTTTGTAGTCACTATTATTTCAAGATAATTTTAGATAACTGATGATACTCGTGTAGTAGGCTGATGCGCCCAACTGGTTTGAAATGTTTTGACGTTTAGTGAAATTTTATCCAGTATATATTTTATCATAAAAAACCTTCAGGTATAAGAAAAATATTACAAATTTGGTTATTTTTAGTATTGTTTTGATTTAGCTAAGTTTAAAACAAGTATGCCACCAATTCAACACTGACGGAGCCTAAGTAGCACAGATTGTAATTTTGTATGAGGAAGGATATACAAAAAAATATATCTCATTACATCTCAGGAGAAGTCAATCTACAATTTCAAATTCTTTAAAAAGTTACCACGAAACAGGAAATTTTGTACCAAAACTCTGGTCAAGGATGCCGAAAGTTCACAACCACAATTGATGACTGTTTTTTTGGTTCTTAACCCCATACGAAATCGCTCATTGACATCGATGCACCTTAGAAATGAGCTACTAAATGTTAGAAGAGTTAGTGTGAGTTCAGAAACAGTTAGACAAAGATTAAAGACGCAAACTTAAAGCCCAGACACCCTGCCAAAGTTCCACATTTTCTCCAAAATCATAAAGTTCATTGTTTAAAATTTGCAAGAACACATATTCAGTGG